TCCCAGGGGTGAAGAGTGGAGATGAAGTGAGATTACTATGTAGAAGTGGGTGTTGTATCAATAAACTGTTTTTTTCAACGGCTTTTCATTCGTCAACCTGTTAACTGTTATTCATCAATGAAAAAATAGGTTGAAAATATTAGCTTTCAATTTACGTCAACGCACACAACGCATTTTTTTTTCAATATTATTTAATTCGTTTCTGTGAATTTAGTCTCCTTCGGAAATATTCGTTACTTCTGGAGATTACCGAACACCGGCGCGTCAACACATCGGACGCGTAATAAAAAATAAAAATATACCACTAGTCCCAGCGCCACTACTCCCAACACCACTATTCCAGGTAAGACACACCATCGACGATAATAAGACACGTGTTGCCTGGAGTAGTGGTGTAGGGAGTAGTGGTGCTGGGACTAGTGGTGACGGAGTTAGTGCGTGCAGTTGTGGGAGGGCGGGAGGTGCTCTTCAATCCAGGTAAGACACATCATTGTATTTATTTAGCGGAAGGTTGCAAAGAAATTTATATTTTTATTTTTTATTATAATGGATTTCCGCAAAGTAAGGCCTGATTCTATCAACATCGGACGCGGTCTTGTGGGTGCGTGTGTGAGTGTGAGCAAGTAAAGAAAGTAAATTTGTTATTTGTTAAGATTTTGTATTTAGTATATTTAAACAATCCGTGAGCTTCGTTCAAGGTTCGTTGCAATTCATTTGTTTGGGTTACGCGGTCGAGGACAAGTGTTTTTAAGTTTAGTTTATTTTTTAAGTTTAAGTTTTACTAGTTGGGATTTTACGTGAATATTGTTTTGTGACAAAGTTTAGACATAAATGTCAATGGCACGTAGAAACAAAATATTTACTCTGCCAAAGACAAATAGACAATATAAAACGAATTGTGGCTTACATAAAAAAGCTCGCAGAGAACGACTAAGATGCTAGAAGATAAAGAATTGTCGGCGATCACTTCGGAAGATTGGACCACCTACCAACAGTTATGTCAGGTGTTGGAACCATTTGAAGAGTGGCCATAAATATTTGACGGCGTGTTATCTTATAAAAACGACACGTTGCCTGATAGAATCTTATAATAAAATATGAGAGAAAGGAAATCGAACAAAAATGTCTACGTTAACGAAACATCAAAGTTTCATTTTTGAAATCAGGTTTATCAGACAAATCGAAAGGGATAGAGCAAAGTGGCACATTATTTTGTGTACTTTTTCGGACCCTTGATTTAAGATGCAGGGATTTGGAGACCACGCTGAAGCTGTCAAAATAAAAGATAGAGTACGAAAGCTCGTCGCTACCGAAATATCCAAAATTGATGCTGCAACACTGACCCAAACTTCAAATCAAAATGAATTGACAAGAACTATTCTAGTCCTTGTCAATTCATTTTGATTCAGTCCACGGGATTTTTTTTGATCAAATAATATGGGCACCTCCCACCACAGGCACTCCGTTATCAAAAGCCATAAAAGAAGTGGACATCTATTTGGCCGACGACGTATTACCAAGAACAAATACTACTGATGACTGGAAGAATTCTTCGGAATGATAGAGAACTCACAATTTTTTATCCAAACTTAGCTAAAATTTATATTAAAAAATGTACTACGATTAGCAAAATCAGTGCAATGCGAAAGAACGTTCTGAAAATCGGGGCTAATTGTAAATCAAAGAAGAACAAGACTATAGTTCATAAAAGATAGCTTGATCTCTGCGACAGCTGTCAGTAAAAATCACGCCTATGAAGTCCTGAATTTCTTATTAGTACAGACAGTACCTGTCAATGTCATACTTTATGGGCATTCACTAATTAGGTCGCCATGCCCATAAAGTATGACATGACAGGTACTGTCTGTACTACTAAGAAATTCAGGACTTCATAGGCATGATTTTACTGACAGCTGTCGCAGAGATTAAGCTATCTTTTATGAACCATAACTACCGGCAAAATAGAGAAATTGCTATTTTGAAATATTAACTTACACTGAGGCCGTTTTGCAAGTTATGAGATTTGAGATGTAATTGTAAACAGAACAAAGAAAAAAATGAGTAATGTATAATGTATATATCCAGCCAGTCCTAAGCCTGGAGAAAGTACGAAGAAATGGTCATTCCAGTTCAATAAAAATAAAAGTAATCTTTATATACGAATGTATTCTTATCAAATCAATAATCTTTAACTTAGTCTGCAACAAAATTGTTATTGATCGAAAACGTTGAAATATTAAATTGATGATTATCGCTAATATTTAAAGATTTTTAAACCTGTTATTTAATTAACAGCTTTTTTAACCTGTTGACCATTAATGATTAACAGTTAAATTACATTAGGTAAAAAACCGTCAATGACCAATGCTTACTACTATGTAGTATTATAGGATATTCTCAAACCGCACCTATTATCTGCGGCTGCAGTCTCGACATAGATAACGATCACTTTACAACCAATATTTGTTGTTAAGTCATAACAATCCGAATATAACGATTTTTGGTAGTCTGTACTGTCAAAGCTATCGGTACCGATCGTAAACTTTACAATTATTTGTTCTGTTTGCTATTATTTTAGCTACCATTTTTGACAGCCCGCTAAGTGTTCGTTACGATCATAAGTTGTTTAACAGTTTTATAAATAATCTTTATCTATTATAATATAAAGTTATAATAAAAGTATTAAGTAATTATGGCGGAATCGTATTTAGCATGGGATTTGTCAGAACTAGAACACAAGCATGTTATGGTTATGCGGCGGTAAATCGCACGAAACCGGCACGAAAGTGAAAATCCCTTAGATTTAGAGGATAGTGAATTCCTGTACCTTTACAGAATTACAAAAAATATGTTTAGCGAGCTCGTAGGTGTACTTCAGTCATCTCTTCGAAAACAACGGCCTTACGGACTTTCTGTGGAGTCCCTAGTGAGTGTCATCATGTAATTGCCTATATACCCCTAAACACTTACTCTTTTTCGTTTGTATTAACTCTTAGTTTCATTTTCTTCTAAATGGATACATGGTTGATGACCCCAATAAAAAATCAACACCTTGGGACACCGGAGCGTAGATACACTGATGCTCATGGTTCAGCCAGAAACATCATAGAAGGATGCTTTGGTATGCTAAAGTCTGTTTCTAGGTGTCTGTCTCATCAACGTCAGTTAATGTATGAGCCATATACTGCTGGCCTTATAGTAAATGCATGTGCAGTGCTACACAACATGCGTGTTAAATATAGATTGATGGAACCATATGTCACCACATACACAGAAATCATTGTTGATAGCTATAACGATGATTACTTGGAAGATACATGTAATAATGTTGTTTAGGTAATATTAAATTAGACTATATTGTTTTTGTAATATTAGAATAATTTTAAAATTTTAAGTTTTAATTACAGAACGAGTAACTGGCACTGGGCGAGCTGTTGCAGAGCGTATACAAAGAAGACTCATAAATACTGCTTATACTTAATTATCATTAATATTATGTTATATTAGAATAATCTTAAAATTTTATGATTTTATTACAGGACGAGTAACTGGCACTGGGCGAGCTGTTGCAGAGCGTATACAAAGAAGACTCATAAATACTGCTTATACTTAATTATCATTAGTATTATGTTATATTAGAATAATCTTAAAATTTTATGATTTTATTACAGGACGAGTAACTGGCACTGGGCGAGCTGCTGCAGAGCGTATACAAAGAAGACTCATAAATACTGCTTATACTTAATTATCATTAGTATTATGTTATATTAGAATAATCTTAAAATTTTATGATTTTATTACAGGACGAGTAACTGGCACTGGGCGAGCTACTGCAGAGCGTATACAAAGAAGACTCATAAATACTGCTTATACTTAATTATCATTAGTATTATGTTATATTAGAATAATCTTAAAATTTTATGATTTTATTACAGGACGAGTAACTGGCACTGGGCGAGCTGCTGCAGAGCGTATACAAAGAAGACTCATAAATACTGCTTATACTTAATTATCATTAGTATTATGTTATATTAGAATAATCTTAAAATTTTATGATTTTATTACAGGACGAGTAACTGGCACTGGGCGAGCTGCTGCAGAGAAGACAAATACTGCTTATACTTAATTATCTATAGTTTTCTGTTATATTAGTAATAATGTAATTTTAGTAATGCTGTGTATACTCGTAGTAAATGTTTCATATTATTTGTATAAAGTAATATATTGTAAATTGAATTTATTAAAAAAAAGTCACGCTGGGTTTCTTGCTGGTTCTTCCCAGGACAGAGGAATTCTTCGAACCAGTGGTAAACGTAAAAAATTACTAAAAAATCTATATTGAATAAAAATGATTCTATTTTATTAAGTGAATTGAAATAAAACATTAAACATATTAATTTATTTATTATTTTTAATAACAAGCAAATATCCAATGTTATCAACAGCCTGAGCTAATAAATTAAATGCCTCGGACTGAACTTTTGCTGCCTCCGCCTGCATTCTGGCAGCCTCGGCCTGAATTTTGGCAGCCTCAGCCTAAATGTTGGCAGCCTCTGCCAGCATCTGTAATGAAAACTATAGATAGATCGAGAAATGCTTGCTAATTCTCTTTAGCATGCTAGTGAATCTTTAGGATAATGTATGCTTTAGATTATAATATCTATTGACAGATCAACAATAGTTTACATTTTATTAACAACATAAGCCACACGAGCACAGAGTTCACCTGATTGCAATTTGACGCATGTCTATGTCTACATCTCCCCCCCCCTCCCACTAAGAATCTAAATGCAGATGCATTGTCACCCCTGAGGACTAAAATGGAATGCCTCGTTACCAGTCAAGGGTTTAGGTTAGGGTCTCCGGTTCACTTCACTTATCGTGGTTATAGGCGTGGTTCTTCCCCAGTCGAGCCGGCCCCTTGCTACGACTATACTACTAACATAACTGCAGCATGGCTCTACCACGTAAAAATATATTGATTTTTTCTTCCGTTTAGTTCAGAATGTAGATGTAATGTTATAACATACCCTCATTAAATCTACATTAGATTTTGCAACTGCCAGGAAATCCTCCCGAGCTATATTCGCTTGCTCGGCAGTAGATCGGCGAGGATTCAGATCTAAAAATACCCAAAATTTATTGTATTGTAATTAAAATAATTTTTGGCTTTATTCTGCTCAAACTGATCATCTTGTGAACTAATGTTTATATTATTAGCACTTAATTGAAATTCAAGCTTACTCCTTATCCTTCTGGGCCTCTCCTGTCGTACAGTGGGTGGTGTTGTAATGACAGCTGCTGCTCTGCTGCCTCTCTCTGCTGAAGTAATGAAATAATACACATAAAATGATCACAATTTTACTTTAATAGTATAAAGGTGAATATTTGCAAAGATTTTTGTTTGTTTATTAATCACACTGAAACAGCAGACCTATATAAAATTTGGCACATAGACCATTTTATCTTGAAATAGTGGATAAAACAGCGGAGCACAAATATATAATGTATGTAAATAAGAATTATATAAATAACAAAGATCTAACTTACTTATTTGTGGTGCTGCTGACTGCAGAGTTATTTCTTGCACCTGTTGCTGATTAGGTGCTGGTGAAGCAACAGGTGTGGCTCTGCTGCCACTTGTTACTGAAATAATCAAATACATTAAACATATTAGTGAAATATAATCATGTAGAGACGTATGAATGTAGGTGTAAGAAAAATAACAAACTTACTGATTTGTGGTGCTGGCGATGCTTTTTCTCTCTCAGTCTCAAGCAACTGGTATTCATTACCTGTAATTAAAATTTGTGTTTTAATACATTGTAGGTATTATTACAATGTATTAAAACACATTGTAATAATACGTAGTACGTAGTATATTTACATTTAAATTGCAACAGAATTTACATTATATTTTTAATACATCTAAAAACTTACCTTGAGCCAAACAAACGACATCTACCATTTCCACTCCAGCCTCCGCCTCATGTTGTAATGTCTATAATAATTAGTAAAACTATTTATTATTGTAAATTGCATTAAAACCAAAAACTATGATTATGAAGTTTGATTAAGTATATGAAATTGTATCATCATCATCATCATCATCATTACAGCCCTTCACAAGTCCACTGCTGAACATAGGCCTCCCCCAAGTAATGCCACAAAGCACAATCTTGAGCCACCTGCATCCATCGACTTCCTGCATATCTTACCAGGTCGTCACTCCATCTAGTGGGGGGTCGCCCTACACTACGCCTACCTGTACGAGGCTGCCACTCGAGAACCCTTCTTTCCCATCGGTTATCGATTCTTCGAGCTATATGGCCGAACCATTGCCACTTCAGCTTACTAATCCGTTGGGCTACGTCGGTCACTCTGGTTTTACTGCGGATATCCTCATTTCTGAGTCTATCACGCAGAGAAACTCCGAGCATAGCCCTCTCCATAGCTCGCTGAGCGACATTGATCGTCCTCATACGGCCAGCAGTGAAGGACCACGTCTCAGATCCGTAAGTCATCACTGACAACACGCACTGGTTGTACACTTTAGTTTGCAGAGATTGAGGTATACCTGACGAGAAGATGTGTCGTAATTTCCCGAACGCTGCCCAGCTGAGTTGAATCCGTCGATTGACCTCTCGGTCAAAGTTGGATTTACCTAGTCGGACTATTTGTCCCAGGTAAAGGTATTCGTCAACAACTTCGAGCATAGTGCTCCCAACAACTACCGGCATAGGTATGACATGGACATTAAACACGATCTTTGTTTTGTCCATGTTCATCATAAGACCTATCCGTTGGGAGACACCATGGAGGTCATTGAGCATAGTGCTTAGGTCCTCCAGTGATTCTGCCATAAGGACTATATCGTCGGCAAATCGAAGGTGAGTGATGTACTCGCCATTGATGTTAATACCGTATCCTTTCCAGTCCAGTAGCTTGAAAACGTCTTCCAATGTACCGGTGAAGAGTTTCGGGGATATAATGTCACCCTGTCTTACACCTCTCTGCAGTTGGATAGGTTTCGAACCCTGGTTCTATACTCGGATAGCCATCGTAGACCTACTGTACAAATACTTCAGAACTTCGATATACCGATAGTCAACTTGGCACCGCTGAAGGGACTGTAGCACCGCCCAAATTTCGACGGAATCAAAGGCTTTCTCATAGTCCACATACGCCAGGCAAAGTGGCAGATTGTACTCTTCGGACTTCTGTACAATCTGCCGCAGGGTATGTATGTGGTCTATGGTACTGAAGCCTTTTCGGAAACCGGCTTGTTCGGGAGGCTGGAAGTCGTCGAGTCTGCGTGCGAGACGATTCGTAATGACTCTCGAAAACATCACGTAGACGCGGCTCAGAAGGGATATCGGTCTGTAGTTCTTCGAGAGGGCGTTGTCACCTTTCTGGAAGAACAAGACCACCGCACTTCTGCTCCACGCCTCCGGAGTAGTGCCACCATGGAGGACGGAGTTGAAAAGCTTGTGAAGGACTTGAAGTACCGGTGTTCCACCCGCTTTCAGAAGCTCCGCTGTAATTCCATCCTCACCTGGAGTCCTGCCGTTTTTAAGGTGCTAGAAAGCCATTCTAATCTCGCTCAGACTGACGTCCAGGATATCTTCGGAATAGTGTCGGATAAGACTTGTTCTTGGATCGTTACTCACACTTGCGTGTGGCTCCAACGATGATGTGTACAGCTGCCCATAAAACCTCTCAATCTCACTCAAAATCTCAGGTGTGCCGGAAACGATGCTGCCACACTCAGTCTTCAGCTTTGACAGTTGTCTCTTTCTGGCAGACAGATCTCTGGCAAAGACTTTGGAGCCCTGGTTCCGCTCGATCGCTTCTTTAATACGAGCAGTATTAAAGTTGCGTAAGTCTCGCCGCATACATTTGGAGATCTCTCTGTTCAGTTGCCTGTATGCTGTCAAATCTGTTGACGATTGCAGCCTCATCTCCCGTCTAACAGCCATGAGATTAAGAGTGTGATCGAAGAGCTTTTGTGTTCTTCTGCGGCGGGTCTTGCAGAACTTAGCTCCGATCGCATGGATAGTTTCCACGAGCTTGTCATTCATATCGTCCACTGCATTGCAATCTTCGAGGCACTGAAAGCGGTTACGTAACTCGAGATGAAAGGTTTCGGGATTCTGGATCAGAGCACGAGGGGGACGGAGCGTTGACTTCATTAGACGAGACCTCTCCAACTTAACGTTTAGGTTCAGTGTGCCTCTAACCATTCTGAAATTGAATAGAAATTCCATATGAAATTGTATATAAGTGAATAGTATATACTACACACTACTGAACTCACTTCTTCCTCTACCATAGAGTCAGGGTAGTCACTGCCAAATGTGTATTCAACACCTATCAGCGACACAAATTTTTTTTCCACCTCAGTCAGTGGAGCAGTGCCTTGGTTGCCGGTCCGCATCCTTTCTCGTCTTAATTTTGCCGCTTCAGTGCAGGCCCGGCTTTTGAAGTCTCACTATACCTACAAAATAAATAATTATGCATTTTAAGTAAATAATCCACTGCTCAGGCGTCTTGACGGATCCGTTGGGAAGCTCAATCAAACTCGTCGGCAACTTCCCTCCAGCCCTTTTCAAAAATTTCCTTGCCCTGCAGGCCACTAAATTTTCTGGTGTACAAATGTGGACTAGCTTCCAGCTTGGGCAATAATATCTCAAGCTGCCCACTCGTAACTCGAGATGTACGCTTACGTCTGAAATGTACGTAGAAGTAAATATTCAAATTGTAAAAATTACAGTCTCTAAACAAACCATTCAATAAATAACGATAGATTCGAAATAGGTGTACACATAGAATTATTTGGACAGGTTGTACCAGTTATACTTTTCGGGTTGTACTTACTTAACGCAGCTCTAAACCGGGCCTGCGCCTGCGTCACTGTCCCCCACCATTGAAAATATTATATAAACTATATTTTTAATAAAATATATGGTATGTTTTATAAAATATGTAGCATAAACTAATTAGATGATATGTAGGTAATGTCAACGTTGTCAAATCGAGACAGACATGTTATAGTGTTGCAAGGAGGCAAACTTTTATGTCCTTTGATATTTAACAAGTTAGTTCAATTCTTGGAAACGGTAAAAGCTACTTGTAAGTTACATACAAAATATTTTCATAAGAAAAGGTTTCTTCTATTTCTGTACAATTTTCAAAGAAAAGCAATTATTTTTATAATATTATGTCTGCAAATTTTCCCTATTATTTTTTAACAGCCAACATTTTTTTAAGAAAATCCGCATTATAAATACGTTTTTCGTTAGCGTAACAACAACGTAAAGTAAAGATAATTAACGATCTTGCACGGAATTTCGGCTGTAGAGACTTGCATTTATCGTAAGCATCGTTACGGCAAGCAATTTTTGTTGTTATTATTTAGCGATCGGTACTTTGCGATGGAGCAGCCATCTATGTCGAGACTGCAGCCGCTGGTATGTATAGGTCGCGCCACCAAAGATGAAATTAAATAGAGTCCACTGCGCATGTACGATCAAGCAAAAAAATGAAAATTTTACTATGGCATTTTAATATGTAAAAAGTCAAAGGTCAACATTATAACTACACATCAGTCTCCACGAAAACGGAACGATATATTTATATATCATCGTTAGGTTTTAACTGCTTGTAAATAATATTCTGCATTTTATGTACACTTAGTTAAAGAAATAAAATATTTTGTATTTGTATTTTTGTGTTTGTAATTGCTGTTTAAACTATACTATGCGATGGCCTTCGATTATAAGGATATTTTACATGCAATAATTTGCAAAAAAAATCATCTTGTAGAAAATAACAAAATATTTACAACTTTATACAATGTACTACGAATTACGCTATTTTAAATAGTCCCAAAATAATTTATAAAGTAATAAATATTTACACACTATTTGAATATATTGTATAAAATATTTTTAAAAGTACAAAAATAATCACAAACATTTAAAATTTTATAACAGGTAGTCGCTAACACTTTCGATATCGATAGTATACAAGACGATACAAGAAGGTGCGCGGGCGACGGGACGCAGGAAGAAACGACGTAGGAGTAGCGCGTCGCCCGTTGCTATGGTTTCGCTTCCCCGTACCTCACACCTCACCGCGCCGACACCTATTTTTCGCTTCTGCGCACTTCCATTTAATTTCATCTTTAGTGGCGCGACCTATACGCGAACTATGCATAGAAATTTCTATTTAAAAAAGGAATCAGATACTAATACATACGAGTATTGCCACGTAATTTTGTTCCGGGAACGACGACGAATAAGTTCATTATAGTGCTTCTCCGTAAAAATCTCATTGTAGTTTTTGGCGGTATAAATATTTTTTCTCTGTATAAAAATAATAGCAACCGTTCCTTTTAACTTTTACCATCTGGGGCTTCATCACCATTAATCATTAGGTTGGTTTGTAGTCGAGCACTAGCTTATAATTACAATAAAGATCGGAAAATCCAAAAGTGCACGCCTCATAATCTCATTTGATTATAAAAAAAGAAAAATATCACTTTTTTCATATTTGAGACGAAAGAAGAGATTGATGAGAATATTTTTTTTTTGTAGAAAAGTACCAGTTGTTTTTTACATTTTCATTAATTACAATTAAAAGAGACCAAATTACTCAGTGATTTATAAAGAAACCTGTTGAGATTCTAAACATAATAAAAAAATAATGATTTTGGTACATAAATTCTAACGACCAAATCGTGCGCCATCCACACATACAGACATCCGGTATACTCGAATTTTTTTTCAATCAGTTTGTTTTTACACTAAATACAAAAAAAATACTTTTAGAAATAATAGCAACATGAAATCAAGTGATTTTTCTCAATATATGTGTATTTTTATTATTTTAAAAGTGCCATAGTAAAAAAAAATAAAGACATTTTTAGCTCAGAAAATTACTGGATTTCCATTAGGTGGAGTAGAGCACAACCTCACGCTTCGCCTATGAGGCATGGAATAATTAAAAAAATATACTTTACATGTTCTGAAATTTCTTCCTGTTTTATTCTTAGATGCTAAAGGATTTTTATTCGATTCGTATTTTTAATGATTGTTCACCGATTTATCGAGCGTACTACAACTAATTTCCACCATCCCATTTTAATACGCTATATCTTACTACCAACTTTAGAAGCTATTAAATTATGTGGAATTTATTTCGTTCTTTTTAGTTTTTTTATAGAGTAAAAGTGACAAACGAGCACACAGTCCACCTGATGGTAATTGGTAAATAGATGCTGTAGTCCGTAGACATCTATATCTATCCTTAATAAATAATCAAAATGCAGAGGCGTTATTACAACTGAGGATTAATACTTCACATCTGGAATGCCTAGTTTTCAGTAAAAAGTCTTCAGTTTGTATCTACACTCACCATTGAAACGTTATTTTACGCTGATAATCTGTCTGTCCTTCCTTGGTTGAGCCGACCCATTCGTACCATAACCATAATATTGCTTTTTACCATATATAGCTTTTTTGAAGTTATTTTTTGTCGTATTAAATGGTTTAATTACTTTACTTTTTTGGTATAAATAGCTTAGAACCTGAAATTATAAAGTTTAAAATCTATCAAAAATTCAATTATTAAGATATTTGTATATTTAATTACTAATTTTCCACAAGCGCAAACATAAAATTCTTTAGGTTCTGGGTTTTGTGATCGATTGAAAATGAAAACAGCAGCATCTTCGTAAAAACCACTAAAAAAGTAACCAGCCCGCCTAAATTTTCTTTTATAAAATTAAAATATAAACGAACTACAGCCTACCTTATATTTCTGGCTGCTGAAGCCCTTGGACATCTGCAGGCAACTGCAAACAAAGATGGCTACAGATGCTTTGTCAACTCTGAGGTGCCAGGCATGCCTTACAGCCTGTAATTTATACTGAATTTTTAATTTTTAAAATGCAATGCATGTTCCTTGCATTACTTAAGCATAATAATAATTACGAAGTCAAAATTAACCTACTTAATACTATAAAAGAAGATTTGTTTTGGTGGTTATCAAATATCGGCACAACACGCAATTTTATGCGACAACCAAAATTTGCCATCGAAATTTACACCGATGCGTGGCGATCAGGCGGGGTTGCCGTTTATAAGAACGGTCAAATACATGGTAAACGGAAGTCATTAGAAAAAGAATTCCATATCAATTAATTAGGACTGATGGCAGCCTTTTTGGGCTTGAAGTCATTTACCAGCAAGGTGTCCAACTGTGCAATAATACTACGCATGGACAATACCACCGCGATTAGTTATATAAATCATATGGGGGGTATACAATACACCCACTTAAACGACTTGGCCAGGTGCCTTTGGAAATGGTGTGAGCAGAGCGACCTTTGGGTATATGCATCATATGTCAATACCAAAGAAAACCGTGCTAATGCTGCGTCTAGAATAGTTAATCCGGATACTGAGTGGTTTCTTTCTGATGAAGCTTTCCAAAGCATAGTAAAATATTTCGGTCAACCTGAGATAGACCTATTTGCGTCTCGAGATAAGACTAAGTGTACCAAATTTATTTCATGGAAACAAGACCCTGACACAGTATCCATCGACGCATTTACAACAGACTGGCATAACCATTAATTTTACGCGTTTCCACCATTTTCCCTGATACTAAAATGCCTTAGAAAAATAATCGACGACAATGCACACGGCAAATTCGTTTATCCTAACTGGCCATCACAACCATGGTTTCCATTATTGCAAAACTGACAAAGACCTTACCCTGGGTGTCGCGAAGCTCTCCGGCGGGCGTTCAGTCGACGGGGCACCTGCGCACACTCGGCTACACTGATGCTGTCATCTTTTTCTACTAGCGCCATACATCAATACAGTACCTCACTTAAGCTTTGGTGGCAATATTGTACGGTAAACAAAATTAATGTATTTGACCCACCGAAATCATTCTTACTCCCATTCTTAGCGTTTATTAATACTGGGTGTGCGTATGGCAGCCTGAACTCCCATCGTTCTGCTTTGTCAGCATTCATAGGCAACAACAATATTGGTTCAGACGAATCTATAAAGCGTCTCCTTAAAGGTCTTAAACTTCATCTCAACGTGGTTCCCAAACAGTGAGCTGACACTGGAAAAAATCACTAAAAAACTCGTAATTCTTTTAGCAATCTGTACAACTCACAGGGTACAGACGCTTTCCTTTATTAAACTTGACAACATACGATTTTCAGACACTGGCATAAAAATAGCCATAATAGACATCATCAAGACATCTGAACCCGGTAGGGACCAGCCTTTGTTGTTTTTGCCATACTTCAGGGAAAACTTCTATCACAAAAAACATAAGAGCTGAGAGTACAAACAATCTGTTTATAACGTACAAACGGCCACATAAACTTGCTACTATACAAACCATCACCAG